ATTAAACCGTGGACGGCACAGGTGCCAAATTCACAGGTCACATGTCCCGGTGTTTGACCAATACCATATGGTATGCTCGGCAGCAGGGGGTGCGGAATGCACGCGCCAGGGGCGAAAAACATGTTTTGAGGATGCATCCTCCGATTCCGGAAAACCTTGACCTAGGCACACCAAATTTGGTACACTGACACTGATGGACACGCGCTTTAAGGTGCTGTATAAATAGGCGTGCTTGGGTACACGGTGCACGTGCTGTGCACGTGCAAACCTTTTGATGTTGCACTCTGTGTCACACATGCGGGTAGGGCGGGTAGCGCTGGCAAGTTCAAAGTGCCAAATTTACACAGGCCACCCAGAATGCATTCCAGCATAGTTATTGAGCATATCTATCTCCTGGTGGACCCCAAAGGTGCGCTCTGCACGTGCAAAAAATTATCCGCGCCGGGCGGTGGGGATGCTTGGACACCCCATGTAGGTTTATGTAAATATATCTCGAAAACGGCGTTGTGGAGCGCCGCCGTTTTTAGCACACCCTTTCATGTATCTTTTTCACGCATGCTGCATAACTTTCAGACCCAGGTCACTCAAGGTTAGGTCACCAGGTTACGTCCAAGTGGCCTTACCTTAGGAAAAGTTATAATGCCCGTCATAGCTACACAGACTGAACAATCGGTCTAAAACGTTGGCGGCGATTATTAAGAGCACCATATAGGTATACGTAAAGTATCTTATCCATAGTAAAGTAGCTTATCCATAGTAAAGTAGCTTATCCATAGTAGGTGTCCACCACCACTGATGGCGTCGTAACATGTTACGAATGCACTAAAACTATAACTTCTTAAATGTTGAACTGAATGCTAAATTCGAAATCAAATCAGCTCCAAAAACTGTCCTAGAAACATTTTAAACTCGAAAAGGTGAACCAAGGTCATTAAAGGTCAGTGACCTTGACCTAATTTTCACGTGACCTTGACACCCACCAATCACCATATTGCATGTGACCAACATCACATCACATGTTTGAACGCTTGAAACCACGAAAAGACAGCAAACGCGCTGCTAGTGCGCGCCGACGTACGCCGAATCACGATTCCGGCCAAACATGGTCTCGTAATAATAACTTAATATCAGATGCTGATTTACCGCAACTCAGTCAAGTTGGAGCCATTTCTTCTTGGCCGCGGTCACCGGTCCAGGCCACCACATAATCGTATTACACCGCGCTTGCTCAATGCTCAGTTCGTATTGTAAAAGCACTGCGGCACAGCATAGATGCAGGCGCTCTGCTACTGCCATCTATGGGTGAAAGATGAAGATAATGGTTATTGCGGTACAGTATCACTACAGGCGCAAACAACGTGGAAACAAAGATGCCTATGCTGCGCTATCGGGCGATGGTAGCGCAAATTTGCGTTGCTGGGTAGCTAAAAGTTTTGGAGCCCGAATTTGACAAAAGAAATGGCTTGCCGTTTTAAAGACCGTATCAACCAATCTGCGGTTACTCTCAATTCTTGCTTTGAGATAATTGGTGATCTGTTTATCAAACTGTGGTACTAGCTATTGCCAGCACATAACGAACTTCTTCAGGCGACACCGCTCGTCTATGTTTTGTGTCCTTTGCCTCACGTGAGGGTGATGGGTACCTACTGGAGTAGGTAAAAATGATATCATCTCCCATTTTCAAATGGATCAGCACCTAAATGGTGAGCCGACCAGGGGGACCGACGAACGTTGTTGTTGTCGTCATCATCCACACTGTAAACCAAATTGACAAGTCTTGTGTAATATAACCAATCATCTCTTGGTATGTTTACCAACTGATACTTTTCAAACAAGCCGTTGTCTGGTGCATTGCTTGTCAGATGACAACTACGAGTCAATAGTTACTATGCACACCAACTTCTCAGTATCCAGACCAACTCTACATTTGTTTCAACGTTTGTTTCGTAACCAGTTTTGGAAACTTGTTGCCGCATGGTTATTTAACCGGCGCCTAACTTGTACTGGTCAGCTGGTCAGCATACACATGGCCAGCTGCGCCCGTGACGTCAGACTTGGCGGACCAATCAGCGGTCGCCGTCCGGCCCCGGCGCGGCGGTTTCAAACCGTTCAAACCAGCAGTTGTCGCGCGGCCGCCGTGCAGCATGGATCAGCGACGAGGGCTGTTCCAGCATTTGTGCAGTAAAAAGTGAAATATGTGAACTGTGGTGTTCGTGCTGTGAGTGAGGCCCGCTCTGGCCTGCGGGACGCACTAATCGTGCCTATACCCGCGGTCGAGACGCCTCCCTTCCCCTGCGCGCGCAATGTAAGTGGGCCAGGCCTTTGCATGCACATGTGAGCAGATGTTTTGCGGTCGGTGTTTTTTATATATAAATACATTTATTTGCCTTTAATTCAACTCTTTGTATTTTTAACTTAACTGATGGACATATATGGGCTGTAAAAGCTAATCTGGTTGGCGATCATGCTTTATTCGAATTATCTGCGTGATCGTACAACTGCCATGATTGTTATGGTCAATGTGGAAATATTCGTCATACGGGCATGTTATACTTCTGGCTTGATGCGATGCACAAAACCATGTTCTTCCACATACGCAGCAGTTCTTGCTTCAAAGACTTATATGCTGACGGTGCACGATAGGTATACCTTATACCTCATGCATTTACCACATCCATTCGAAAATATGCACTTGGAATTGTCTCCAGTCAATAGTATTAATTACATACTACGTGATGTAGGTACGTGACCGTAATAAATACTAATGATTCCAGAAACTTCCGAATGGATGTGGTGTATGCATTCATCGATTATATAACCCATCAGTATTTCCTTTCTTGTCAGCACAAGCCTTTGAGCAATAACTGATGCCAGTCATGATTTTGTGCACCACTTCCAGCCAAAAAATGACCTGTCCGTATAGAAAATATTTCCTGAATCAGTATCGTGGCAATTGAAAACGAACGCGAATCGTAAGTTCTTAAGGTTATCAACGCAAACAAAGCGATTGTAAGGAAGAACAAGTTCGAACTGAGCGTTAGTACACTTACTTGTTGACAATTTGTAAACTAGCAATGCCCAGTCAAAGGCTAGTTCATCAACAAACCAGGGGTTGTTGAACCGACAAGGAAACGGCTATGCCTATCCAGAAGTTGGTAGGTTCACAAGGCCCAGACTAGTACTCAACAAGGTGACGCCTATGCGAATTGGAACCAAACTTGTAGACAAACTGTTAGTTTGTTGGCCAACACGCCTGGGGTTGGTGAATCGACAAGGTGACGCCTATGCGAATTGGAACCAAACTTGTAGACAAACTGTTAGTTTGTTGGCCAACACGCCTGGGGTTGGTGAATCGACAAGGTGACGCCTATGCGAATTGGAACCAAACTTGTAGACAAACTGTTAGTTTGTTAGCCAACAAGCCTGGGGCTGGTGAATCGACAAGGTGACGCCTATGCGAATTGGAACCAAACTTGTAACAAGGAGCCAACTTGTAGATTTGGTTTACAGTGCACCATAGGTGGCCACCGACCATCGACTATCGACCATCGACTATAGGCCAACGTTTTAGACCGATTGTTCAGTCTGTGTAGCTATGACGGGCATTATAACTTTTCCTAAGGTAAGGCCACTTGGACGTAACCTGGTGACCTAACCTTGAGTGACCTGGGTCTGAAAGTTATGCAGCATGTGTGAAAAAGATTCATGAAAGGGTGTGCTAAAAACGGCGGCGCTCCACAACGCCGTTTTCGAGATATTTACATAAACCTCCATGGGGTGTCCAAGCATCCCCACCGCCCGGCGCGGATAATTTTTTGCACGTGCAGAGCGCACCTTTGGGGTCCACCAGGAGATAGATATGCTCAATAACTATGCTGGAATGCATTCTGGGTGGCCTGTGTAAATTTGGCACTTTGAGCTTGCTAGCGCTACCCGCTCTGCCCGTATATGTGACACAGAGTGCAACATCAAAAGGTTTGCACGTGCACAGCACGTGCACCGTGTACCCCAGCACATCTATTTGCACAGCGCCTTAAAGCGCTCGTCCAGTAGTGTCAGTGTGCCAAATTTGGTGTGCCTAGGTCAAGGTTTTCCGGAATCGGAGGATGCATCCTCAAAACATGTTTTTCGCCCCTGGCGCGTGCATTCCACACCCCCTGCTGCCGAGCATGCCATATGGTAATGGTCAAACACCGGGACATGTGACCTGTGAATTTGGCACCTGTGCCTTCCACGGTTTAATTTGGAGCGTCGCTTAAAGGTTTTTGCCCTTCCCGACTTTGTCGGCACGTGGCACGCGCCACGTGACACCGAATGACCTGTGTCATGCATCATCACCTGCCTCAAAGCATTACCCATCGAACGGTACCACCAGCATCTCGATCTGATCATCCATTTAGACGCAATTCCAATTGTAATGGTTCGTAGACCTTTCAGAGCACGGGTTTTTGGCAACGTAAAATGGCGCCTTGTCGGCTTCACTATCTTCCATAGGAGGTCCATTGGGATCGTCAGTCCAGTTTATTTATACGTCCGTGGGTCGTCTTCATATTTTGACCGCTAGTTTTGGCCATTCGCAGCCCGGATGGTCGCCGTATGTGTGTTGTATTTGTGGGTTGTGAACGCTGTTTTGTGTGGATGAATGTTGTCATAGGATTTACCGCTGTCTTCGTAATATTTCTAAATATTTCTACTGAATATGACCACTACCTAGCGTTTACAGCAATTGGCTGCTGTCGGCGAGTTTTGTTAGCTGTTCTGTTTTCTGTCTGTGAAACATTGCCGCTGTCTGCTGTTTGCGCCAGCAGCATGTAACTCTGTTGTGATATGCCTGCAAACTGACCGTTGTCCTGTGTAAGAGCTGCTACCTGCAAACTGACCGTTGTCCTGTGTAAGAGCTGTTACCTGCAAACTGACCGTTGTCCTGTGTAAGAGCTGTTACCTGCAAACTGACCGTTGTCCTGTGTAAGAGCTGTTACTGACCCCTGTCCTATCCACAGGGTGTCTGTACGGAGGCGGGCATGTACGCGCTGCGCGAGCGGAGGGTGCACGTCAACCAGGAGGACTTCGAGATGGCCGTGGCCAAGATCATGCAGAAGGACTCGGAGAAGAACATGTCCATCAAGAAGCTGTGGAAGTAGTGGAGGGGAGGGAGGGACCGACCGCTCCCTGCCGGCGTCCCTGGACCGGTGGCACTCTCTCATACCGACGTCTGCCGTCGATCTGTGTTCGGGCGGTCTTGTAACGCGCTCAGCTGCGACAACATGTTTCTCTATTGTCATCGCTGGATTACAATAAATCACACTGTGTCTGAACTCTGATGTGCCTGGAGTGGACTGTGGGTATCGGAAAATAATTTGGCCAAGCTGTGCCCCGACACATTTCATCTTTCATCACATTTAGCGTAGCGTTTTAGAGCCATACCTTGAGTCATTTACGGAAGTATGCTCGCTCTGTAGCCGTTAGCTCAACTCTGAGACGATCAGATAAACCACTTTATGGCCATTGCCTGGGCTCTGGAGTTGAAGCGTGGCATGATCGTACTCTTATCGTCTCGACCTGCACTTGCCCCCGCCTCTCGAGGGTTATTTCATAATGCAACTTGCAGGGGTTACTTCAACTTTGCCTGGTCTCAGAAATTTATTGTTTGATCGACTATCAAAGTAAATACGAAGTTTTAAAGCCAAAGATTGTAAGATTTGAAATTCGTTTCCACTGGCGTCCTTTTTATTTATATATTCAACCCCACGGCATATCTTTTTACAGCTTATACGATGCAGAACAACAAGCGACGAACGTTGAACGTTTCCTAAGGAGACATGCCAGACCGCCTGGCCATGGCTGCAAGGGGCATAACGGGATAGCACAGAACTTCGTTCGTATTCTTCGTTCTACATACGTTCTACATCTACGTAAGACTGTGGCTGCTTTTATGCTAATGAAGAATAAAGAATAAAGGCGGAACAAACCAGCCGCTGTGAGAGTTAGAATATGAATGTAAGGCTCAGGAATTCCGTAGGGATTCATGGAGACGAGACGAGTCAGAGTAGTTGCTCCTTGGAGGTCCCCGTGAGATGAAATAACACGCTATGAGACCGCTTGAAACGGCTGGGTCCTAGAAAAGTGGCGGGAACCTCTGGTCTGGTCTTCTCGGCTCCGGTCCAGTAACCATCTGATCTGCCTTTGATTTCCTCCTGGGCTTATCTTCTCTGGCTAATTTTCCTCTGGTATCCCTTCAGTCCGCCGCGATGTGGTCATCTCGCGCGTTGGTCTGGTCTGGTCTTCCTTCTGGTCTAGTGTCTCCTAGTCTGATATTCCCTATTCTGATCTCCCTTGGTCTGACCTCCCCCAGTCTGATCCGTTATCTAATTCCCCTAGTCTAATTTCCCTCAATCTGATCTCCCCTACTCTGATCTCTAGTCTGATCTCTAGTGTGATCTCTAGTCTGATCTCTACTCTGATCTCTAATCTGATCTCTCCCATAGTCTGCAGAGGTGTGTCTCTCGCTCTGTGGTGCCGGTCTGATCTCCAGTCTGATCTCTAATCCAGTCTGATCTCTAGTCTGATCTCCCCCAGTCTGTGCCCTCCCCCCTCCCCTCCAGCCTGCAGAGGTGGGCGTCTCTCTCTGGCTGTGTGGCGCCGGTCTCGGGACGGGGGCGGCCTTTGTCGCTCGCTGGCTCACCTGGATCGATCGGCTCCGGCCGGGACCGAGCTCGGCTCGCTCCGAGCAACAGGCTGCCGGCGCGGCCAGTGCCGTCAGAGGCGCAGCCCGGCCGCCGGCCTCCGCCGCGCGCCGCGCCGCACAGCGCGGACAAACGGCGCGGGGATCGTGGTGAAGTGGATAGCAGGCGAGGAAAGCAGCGGGTGTGATTATCCGACAGTTAGTGTTGCGGCAAGTGTTGGGGCGCAGGCATCAGGGGAGCGTTCCGTCAGAAAGGAAGGCGCAACAAGTTGCTGTGCTCGGCTGAGATCATTCTATGCTGCTTAGCGGTCATAAATCTCGGTGATCATTACAAGCGATCATTCCGGCGAAAAATCAAAGAAGGTGACCGTGTGTGCGTATAACGTTTAGGGCTGCTGACCGGGATGAATTCATAGCGTGTTCGCTTTAGTGATGCCGATCGAAGCCTGACTTGGCACTCGAAGCCGCAGTAGTCAAAGTGTGACGCTTGTGACAGCAAGTGTCGAAGTCGGACGTTCGTTGCTTCAGTGGTCGAAGTCTGATGTTCGTGGCAGCAAATTTCCAAGTCTGACTCGCGCAGGCAGCAGTAGTCGAAGTCTTTCGCTCGTGGAAGAAGAAGCCAGAGTAGAATGGAGAGTGACTGTCGGGACTGATAGATGGACTGGAATTATTAGCACCTCGGACTGACATTTCAACGATAGTTTTGGCAGAGGGAAACAGATGAGGTCAGGTGACATCTCGCGTCATCGTTAGCTCGCCGTCGACGTCAGTGCCCTGACTGATGTGCATCACTGCCGTGATATCAGGTAGTGATTTGGTGATATTTTGGATACGTCCGTACTTGATGCTCGACTAAACGGAGAACCTGGTCTGCCTAAGTTATCTGGATCCGCGTCTTCAGAAAAGGTAAGCTTTGTTTTACCCTCGCCGGACCGAAAGCTTTTCTGCATACTGCGGGGTTAGTGGATTCCCCTCGCCGTTTCACCCCTAAATTGAGCTAGGGCTGGGGAAAATGAATGTATGTGCCATTGTGAGACGAAGCGACTGGCTTGTACACACTTTTAGGATCTCAGGTCAAGCGGTGACCTCAGGTCAGGTCAAATGTCCCAAAATAATGGGTTTCTGTTCGCAAATAATTTCGTCAAAAATAATCGCAGTGTCGCGATTTTGGCGCCATAGTGTGTTCGTCATGCTCAGGAGCGTCGAATGACATAATTTTTCTGGAAAAGAGTAACTTGGAATTTTGACCTAAGATTTAAGTCAGGCCAAGGATGTTAACCCGCGCCCCGCTGGGCTATTCAGCCATACGCGCCCTGCTGGGGGGGGGGCAGATTCTGCCCCCCCTGTCTAACTTCCGAACCGATGGTCGTAGAAAGACGAGGAAAACGGCAATCAAAAGCTCTCAACAAGGCGGATCTTAAGAGCCAATCTTTTTTGCTTAAAACCCACGCCCCGTAGGGGGGGGGGGGGGGCGAAACGGCCCCTCTGTCCTTTTCCGTCGATATCTCCTAAACGGATGAAGGTATCGCCACCAAACTTTCAAGACCCCTCCGGGCATAAATTTTACACATTGTGACCAAAAATTTTCCAGAGGCTATCATAAGTTGGCCACAAACGACGTCAGAATGACGTCATGTTCTGTCATTTTCGACCGAAAAAAGACCTTCGCGAGAAGAGCTGTTAGGCCTACAGTTTGAAGATATAGAAAAATGATCAAGACATAAAAGGTGTAGAAATAACAGGGCTACAAAACTGCTATCTCGGATTTTTGAAATTTTTGAGTTTTGACCCCCAAAAATAAAAATGCAGTTTTTTGGATATATTAGCCCAAAAAAATCCAAAAAGTTTTTTGAGTTTCGAAAAACCGGAATAAATGTGATAGTACCTACCGTCTTCTATCTACATACCAAATTTCAGATCCATATCTCCGTTTTTGGCCAAGTTATAGCGAAAAAACTGTTCAAAAATGAAGACGTCAAATTTTCAAACTCAAATTTTGGCAATTCTAGACCACGTAGGGCAAAACAAAGACCACCATTGGACTCCACGTGACGAGCTGCATCGAATGGATACCCATTTTATGCAAAAATATCAACTTTGAAATTTGACCTAATTTGACCTGACCTTGACCTGACCTTGACCTGACCTTGACCTGACCTTCACCGTAACATAATCCAAACTGACCCCAAAGGCTGCCTGACCCACATAATCGCATTTGTCATGTAAAATGGACCATAAAACATGTATCACACGCAGGGCTGCGGAGTCGGAGTCGGAGTCGGAGTCGGAGTCGGTCGGAGTCGACAGTTGTGACCGGAGTCGGAGTCGGAGTCGGAGTCGATTTTAGAAACCCGAGCCGGAGTCGGAGTCGGAGTCACCGAAAATCTGTCGACTCCGCAGCCCTGCTAGGTCTGCGGAGTCGGAGTCGGGAGTTGGAGTCGGTCGGAGTCGACAATTCTGCCCGGAGTCGGAGTCGGAGTCGGAGCTGGTTTTTGAAAGCCGGAGTCGGAGTCGGAGTCGGAGTCGCCGAAAATCCATCGACTCCGCAGCCCTGATCACACGACACTTTCATATTGTGACCCCCAGTCACCTGACCTCTGTGACCTGACCTGGTATCAGTGACCTCAGATAGCGAAGTATGTGTTTGACGAACAATGTACCGTCGATGGTTTTCAATAACTTACCAATTTACTCGATTTCACAACACATTACTTGAAATGCCTGTGAACGGTGAAAATCTGACCTTTGACCTGACCTGTGACGTCATCGGTTTGACCTAGGTCAATGAAATTTGGTCACAAGGTAGTTACCCGGTGGGGCTATCGAACGCCGTTTGAATTTTGATAATCGGCCGGTAAATTTCCGAGATCTCAGGGGGGGGGGCGAAACGCCCCCCCCCCTACGGGTGATAGGGTCCGGCGGTAGCCCTACGGGGCGCGGGTTAAGAAGATCAGAGGTCAGGTCAAGGTCAGGTCAAGGGTACAAAATGCATGTTTCTACAGCATCGGCTTTGCACCGTAGTTGCCGAATAATGGACTGAGACTGATTGCCCAAAACGTGTTCTTAGGCTACCAAGACAATATTCGTTGCATACAATATCATGCAAAGGTCAAGGTCAAGGTCAGGTCAGGTCACTAAAAACGAAATATAGAAAAGGGCATATGCGACACATGTTTTATGGGTCATTTTATTCATAGAATTCAATAGGCACACTCAATAAGTGATATGGACCACATCTGGATGAATTTCAGGTCGAGGTCAGGTCAAGGTCAGGTCAAGTGAGGTCAAATTTTGAAGCTGGTTGTTAAGACCTTAACCCGGCAGTTGCTGGGGTATTTCGCCACCCGCCGTTTGCTGGGGAGGGGGGGGGGGCGTTAAACGCCCCCATCGATTAGGCTCAAGAACCAATAGGCGCAGCGAAACGCACGAAACGGCAAACGAAAGAACGCGACGAGACGGTTCAGTTGAGTACTTTTAAGTTGAATTTTCATGTCACAGGTCGGGTCAAGGTCAGGTCAAACACCTGAAATCGGGCTTTCAGCACCATGGACGTCAGGACTTCGCAATGGGCGCCTCTCGTCATAAGCTCTGTCAAAACGGTGCACAACCCTTCATATAAGGCCTACAAGAGTGTCAGATCCATGTAGGGGTCAGTCAAGCATAGGTCAGGGTCAAGGTCAGGTCAACCCGGTAGGCATATATCCCCGAAAATCAAAACTGATATTCGCAGCCTGTGACACATGTTTTATGGGTATCTTTGGGCGTAGAACACGATGGTGACATTCATGTTATCATATGTGTACGTGTTTGGTTCAAAAAGTTCAATTTAAGAAATGCATGTATCATGGTCGTGAAGTAGTCACGAGAAATTGCCAAGATTCAGTTCAAGATTTTGGACAATGCGGAACGATAATCAAAAATCGAAGATTGCCATTTGATTGTTCATGGTATTGGCAGTCTAATGGCGTTTACGGCATGTGTGTATGTTTATTTTGTGATTTTATATGATTTTTTAAACATATGCTGTTTTTGGTCGAAAACTTAGAAATTATAACGTCACTAAAACCTCGATATCTCAAAAATTTCCCGACCATTTTTTAAATCTTTGTCGCAATATACTTCAATAAATTCCCTACAGGTAGCCAAATTTTGGCGCGCCTGCGCGCCGCCGATTTTATGCTATAGCGCGGCGAAAAAAAGTGGAGGCGCCCCTCCCCCTCAGCAAATCGCGGGTTAAAAGGTGTCTATCTGAAACAGTTTGTCACGGCAAATCGAATGGTGCTATTTTTGTTTCCGTACAAGGTCTAGAACTTCCAAAAAATCATTTTTTAAAGAATTTTTATTTGTCGTGACGTCATAAGATTTTGAATAACTCCCACACTTTTGAACCGATTCTTCTGAAATTGGTATGTAGGTGCACGTAGACCACTTCTCTGACATATATTCCGGTTTGTTTGATACACTAAAAATTTTGGATTTTATAAATATTTCCCAAAAAAGTCAGTTAGCTTGACCGTTTCCAAAGAAAAAAAAAACATCATTAGACGCTCCGTGACACATACAAAACATTTGTAACAAAACTTGCACTATCTTGGCTGAGCGACCATTTTTACCGAGGTTATTTGCAAAAAAAGTTTCGGAATCTTCGACCGGACTTCTGAGGTTACCTGTTGATCTGAGGAATATCGTGCAAGATGCCAATATCTAATGTTAACGTCGCGGTACTTGTCTACGAGTTAACCCTTCAGTTCTGAGCTTTGATGATATTACCAGTCGTCGATGCCGTGACTGGAATTACCAATTTATAGATGCTCCCACCAGTCTATTTATTGAGGCTACCGTCTCTTGCACAGACTACATGATTCTTTGTTTTCATTGGCCATTTGAGAAAGTAAAAGAGTCAATGCAAACTTACGAGTAGGTATAAGCCGTTTTGACGACGGTCTATCTGGCGAATGCACCTAATTTGATCAAATCTGTACCAAATCTCTTTTTAAGTCTTTTAGAAGAAATATTTTCATATCATGAATTAATTTCAGTTTTGGTAGAAAATAATGTCTGATTAGTTGAAAAATGAGGCATATAAGCATATATGCTACCAAAACTGACAACTTTTATGAAACACAATTAAACTAATTTGACCAAATTTGCACCAAATCTGCACCTAATCTGCAACAAAGGTCTACCAGATGGCCGTCGTGAAAACGGCTAAAGGTGACTTAATGTGAACGAATAGGCGACCGTGACCGAAAATCAAAACACTGCATGGAGCGTGCTCCGTTCTTACTTCACGAGGTGATGGAACTCTTCTGTCCCCCGCAGGGGCAGCACCGGTGACCACCAGGTCACGGTGAGCTCAGTGCACCACAATGAACGCCAGTGAGTCAGCTAACGGCACCCAACCAGCCGCCGACCTACCGAGCCTGCCGCCGCAGCTGGAGCTCAACATCAGTGACGGCAGGACGGACAACGGGCAGTGTAAGTCGCAGTACCTGCCCGGAGGCAGTGGCGGATCCAGGGGGGGCATTTGCCCCCCTGAACCCCCCATTTGCCCCCCCTGGATTTGCGTCCAACCAATATACAACGGTGAACTTCTTATAACCAAATTTTGATACGGTGATCATCGTTTTTGATTCACATGAGGCATGCGATGAACTGTGTAGTGTGTAATGAGACCCATATGGATAATAGATGGAACGGGATATGTAAGGAATGTCCGATGAATTCATAAGATATCATTTAAGCATCTACAATAAATTAGTTTCGCGGCTCAAGGTTATGAAACGTGAAACACCCCGTGAATTGTTTCTCACTGATTGAATGGCTCCAAACTATGACGTCATAAGTGAACCTCTGCACGGTCTTCAGATGTCGCAACTTCGCAACGCTCTCACTGCCAGAGGTGCTTTCACAGGGAAATCAAACTTGCAGGATATAAAATCCATTACGAGTCTCACAACTTGTATATTTATGATTTTTCCTCAAGGTCTTATGAGGTCAGGTCATTTTCGTGACCTCACCATTATAAATCAATGCGGAAAAATGAAAACTGCTATTCTGGCGCCGGGAACAATACGATCTCCAACCATCTCAAGCACACAGAATAAGATTTGATGCACTCCTTGCAAGGTTACATGCGTCACTTTTGCATTGTTGACCTTGCGTGACGTCATTTATGACGTCATTAGGGTCATATTAGTTTTTCGTCGATAACTCCCGATCAAATTAAGCTAGCGAGTCGGGAAAGCCACCAATGGACTCAGGAAGACCTGCCGAATCGAATGATATGCGACATGACCTCCTTCGACCAACTTTGTGACCTGGGGGCGCTGACCTGACCGAGACCTGATGTCAACACTCTGAGTTGACCTCACTCAAACAAAAAGTATATCATTTGACGCGCCTGAGCGAGGTGAACACGATGTTGCCAACATCGCGGCTCTGCGGCCGTTTTTGAGACGTTATTCACCAAAAACGGAACCGTACCTTGGGGCACTTGACCTGACCTCAAAGGTGACCGGTTGACCTATGACCTTAAAATCGGACATCAATATCTGCGTCTCGTAACGACGCACACGCTCGTTTTTTTCCGCGACGCGCTAGCTCCACCAGGGGCGAAACAGCGAGCGGGGGGGGGGGTCGTACCCGCACCCCCCCCCCCCCCCCCACTCGGCCGGCGCGTATGTAGAAAGCCAATAGGCCCGACGAGGGTTAACGCGCGCCCCACTGGGAGGGGCTATTCATAGCCCCCCTCCCGTTTTTCTGCAACTTCCAAACCGCTTGACGTATCGACGTAAATCTTTCAGTACCTTCGACTGCATCCATTTGACACCTTGTGTCAAAATTATGAACTTCGTAGCTACCATAGGTCGGCCGGAAATGACATAAGAGTGACGTCATGTTTGGCCGATTTCGACGCAAAACATTGAACCACGGGCATCGCTCCCAAGAGCTCAGTTTTTAAGCTAGATCCAATTTCTTTGCATGAGAGGACGCAGAATAGACTTTGATGTCAAACTGCAATCTCAAATTTTCAAAATTATAAAAAAAAATTGAAAATTATACATACAAAAATCAAATTTTGTAATTTATTTTTTTTTTCTCAAAAACACTTTTACTTTTCGAAAAAAATGGAATATATGTGATAGAACACATGCATATGATTTACTCTAGCAAGTTTTAGCTAAACAGGAGACTGGGGACACTAGTGGGACATTATTTTGACGTCAACTTTGAAAAATCGTAAAAAATAGAATATTTAAGATTTAAGTAAATTGATTGCATTTACTGGTAAACGGTTTATTTCTTCTTCATTCTTTACTGTTTTTTATGCGTGTTTGCTCACGTGTTACTTCTCAAATTTAAATTTTAGGAAAGGTTGACAATGATGTGAACTGGGACACGTCCAGGAGAAGTGGGACAGATGATGAGGAGAACTGGGACTGGTCGAGAAATGTGATTTAAATGGAAAAATGGCCAAGTTATACACATTATTGCAAAAAAATTCACAATTCTAAATTTTTCAATCAATTTTTTTTTCAGCACATGTTTGACATCGTACACTAATATAGATAGCACCATCGTGTTCCTGAGATCAAACGTCATCCAATAGAAACCTTTTTTGTTAAAGATTTTAACTTCAAACTTTGACCTTTTTTGATCTGAAAGTGACCTGACCTAAGCTAAATTCAACTCAAAATGACCTCGAATGACACAAGGACATCAAATTCGAAATATATGGCCTAAATGGACCATAAAACATGTGTCATGTGACCGACGCATGATATAGTAGTTCCGTGACCTGTGATGACCTGACCCTGACCTGAAAATCAAAGTAAAAGTTTGGTACCCTCAGGGTATCTTAAGCATCTGCTCACGAGTGTGTTAACCAAAAATGAGCCTGACCTGACTTTTAAGACGGCGACCAGAGCCAAAAATGTGAACAAGCCCAAATGCTAATAATTTTTTTACTTTGACCTGACCAGTGACCTGTCACCTGTGACGTCATCGGTGACCTCGAAGTCAATGAAATTAGGTTTCGCTCGATAGTTTTGCCGGTGCTTGCAGACGCCGTGTGAATTTTGACGATCGGCCCAGTAGTTTCGGAGTTAGGAGGGGGGGGGGGCTATGAAGAGCCCCCCCCCCCGCAGTAGGGCGCGTTATACGTAGACCCCAGTGGGGCGCGGGTTAATTCATTAAGACCATTGGCTTCATAGAACATCAATGAAGTTTTCAATGCACATACTATTTAATTCTTCATTTACTTTCCCGGGAGTTACATGCATCTGTCGCAGGAATATCTGAACTAATTAGCGTCCTGATTTAAAGTCGGGACGAGTGTTTGCCTTTTAATCAGATCAAGTTTGAGCGCCAGCGGGGTACCTAAAGCCGAGTTTTACAAGAGTTTCCTCTCCAGACGAATATTTCAAATATTTTTAGGACGTATAGATGCCTACGCCATATGAGTATATTTCCATATCCTAACTTTGCTTGAGCTTGAACAATGAGCGTGCTTATTATAATTATATTTTATTCTATGCTATTTCGAGTCAATACTTACTTCAGAGAAGGTTTCGTAACTCGGGGTTGACTTAATGTATAATATAACTATATTGACGTGTTTCGTGTAATCATTCTAAGCGCGCCTTTCATGTTCCAGATACGGGCGGGCCTGGCGGTATTGATGATGACGTCATCTTCTCCGAGGGGCCGCCCTGGTGGATGGTGGTACATATCTACGGTTTCGCCTGTCTGTTCTTCATGCTGGCCTTCTACGCCTTCTTCTCCGGAATGAATATCAGGCAAGACCTCTAATAAAACCGTAATGACCAATCTCAAGAGCATTGTGTGCTCAAACCCGTCGTAAACCAAAGAAAGCTTGTGACAGTGGCGTAGTCATAACGAAAAATAAACATGGTCTCGCAATGCACAAACAACAAGCATACGCTTCAATATCCCATCAAGGTTTGTTCTGTGAAGTCGATCATCTTCATACAATCTATCAATATTTACGGGAAATGTGAGTAAATCGCCATTACATATTTTTGATAAGCTCTGTGATTACACATAACATCTGATACATAATCATCATTTATGCTGTGAACGTTCAACGCTACTGCTAAACGTAAATGCTGCCAGTCGGTGTGTCTTGTCATACTCCGCAAGCACATCCAAAGTTTGACGCTAAATTTCACATCATAAGCGACACTTTGCGATCAGACGATGGAGTTCTTGACATTTACGGCAATTGAAGCTCCGCTCGGGCTCTCGCTCCGGAAATCTACTCACTCAAAACCTTCCAACAAAGATTCTGCAGGCACGACCGATCATTCTGACCAGCTTTGGAGTTTGGTTTCAGATCGCAAATATCCAGTCGACCATTCATGGCCACCGTAAACGGCTTCCTGTGTGCGCTGGGTGTCAGCAGGGCGGCCTATCTCGTCATCGAGCAGTACCACCTTCAGGAGGTAAGCACGTCTCACCATTCCGGCACGAAGGCATGAGTAATGATGACACTATCGGGAGGTGAAATAAATGCTTGTTAATGGTCCCTAAAGACATGGCTTTGATTCAGGCTTAATTTTACACCAAGTTTATAGGTATCTGATCGACATAGGTGAACAAACGTGCAAACTCTACTGACCACCCGGACGGTGATAACACTGATGTCTCGCAGAAAAAGAGACAAGTTGCGTTTCTGAATCCTAATTTCCTAACTACGTATTGAGCGTCATGCGTTTTTCTTATGCATTTTACTAGGTAAGCGTCTATTTTCGAAAGTATTAAAAATAAACAAACTGGGCCCATAACAGATCATCGGTTTTCTCTCAAAGCGCGCCTCAGTTTCTAAGGGCAGCGGCAGCTTTTCGGACCTTAACCTCTAGAGACCCGAGAGCAAGTTTACAGATAAAACAAGACGAAATTTGGAATATAGTCTGCTTAAGTGGTGCGATTGATAAATTTCCAGTCGTTTTGGCCATATGCCCCAATGCGCATGCGCAGTGACCTGTATACTATAGTATACATTCGGTTTCAGAACTTATTTTTTTGCACTTGGTTGTTAATATTAAAAGTGATAAATATGCTTTTTAATGGTCGCATGGACAATGTCTAGCAATGTGATGAATGGGCTGATGTGTTCTAAACCTTTTGAGGTGATATCTGCATGGAAAAAAACATACTTGTTGTAAACATACCTAGGAGCATTGGGGGTGACATCTTGATCACCTAACTCGAGGTCACTCTCACTGTCGGACCCAGGAGCAGGATCGACTCGAGGGATGTACTCGCCCAGTAAACATGCCGACGTCGGCCGACGCCGGGGTGACGTCGGCCGACGTCGGGGTGACGTCGGCATCTCGGCATCGGTATGCCGACGTCGGCACGACGTCGGCTGGATGTCGGATATGCCCGCATGTACCGACGTCCAGCCGAGGTCCAGCCGACGTCGGGCCGACGTCAGACCGAGATCAATTGCTGAGGTCCAGCCGACGTCGGGGCGACGTCGGACCGACATCGGCCGCTGTTTTGACCGTTAAAATAATATAGAATGCATGTTTCATTTTTCATAAAGAGCTTCTGTATTCAAAATATCCTCATGAAACTCAAATTTTCCTCCACGCCGCAACCCCCTGATCCGGACTGGACGGGAAACTTTAACCCATTTGGGATTGCCGGTAAGCCGAGCTCGCCCGTAGCCGGGTGCGGTGAGTGCTTGGGGGCTGCCCGGCCTATCCTTTGGTCAGGCTCAGCACCGGCAACTCACCAGGGCCGGGCCCAGTTCATATAGAAAGGCCAGTCGGTAAGTGTCACTTTGCCAAAGTGCCACTTATCAAAGGGACACTTTGGGAAACGTTGGTGCAGGTGTGTAAGAGTGGCTATATGAATCCATTGTGGGGTTGCCCTTTCCAATAAGTGTCACGTAACAGCAATGGGACCAGGGACTCTATATGAACTGGACCCAGGGTGCTCGCCAAGAAGACCAATGTCTCCATCCTATCATCCTTTCGGCTCTGAAATGGTCTTGTCAGACCGAAAGGGCATAACCCAACAAAACAAACTAAATTCGCTATCTGGATGCGTGGTTTAGTGGTTAGCGCACTAACCTCACGTTCAAATGACACGGGGTTCGAATCACATCGCCGGCTGATGCTTTTGGCGTGTTGTCCCAGTAAACATGCCGACGTCGGCGACTGGGGGCTCGAATCCCGCCGCCGGTTGATATTTTTGGCGCGTTGTCCCAATAAACATGCCGACGTCCGCCCCGTCGGTCCAACGACAAACGATCTCGTCAACCTCGGCAAACGACCTCGGCCCGACGTCGGCTCGACGTCGGCTGGACTTCGGCTGGACGTCGGAACATGCGGGCATATCCGACGTCCAGCCGATGTCGGGCCGAGGTTGAACCGACGTCGGCATGTTTACTGGGCGTCTCCTGAATCAGAGACATCTAGGTCGGATCCGGAATCAGGTGCTTCGAGCATGGCCTTGATACTGGCAGACGACAGGCCATCTATAAAACAGCACAGTTTATCAAACTTCGCTCTATAATCCGACCTAACTTTTCAGTGATGGCATGCAGACTGTGACGCCACGATCGCTTTTGGTAGTTTGACCATTTATTCTCCATTCAAGAACAGTAGTTTACCATCAAATACCAGTAAAACGCCGTTAGGGCGATGAACGAGAGAGCGCAAAGGTGAGTCGTTTACGTGCCTGAGTGTGAAATGGTACCCCGACTGACTTGTGTGCAACACCATTCTAACCGGTCCCTAACGTTGTGCCATGTTTTAGCGCAATAATTATTGAGATGTGTCCGTGGGAACCACAAGTATGTTTACGCTTCACGTCCTGAATGTATACTTGAGTGCACATGTCCTGTTGTAATGTAAGCCTAAGTGTATACTATAGTACACAAATCAAGAAACGAGCGAATCCTGATGGATACCATAGTAGGGGAGAGCGGGGTCAAATGTAACACGGGGCAATTGTAACAGTGTTAATAATTCATAAACTTACCAATAGAATGAGCTGATGTTCAGACCGAAAATGCGTAATTCTATACTGCCTTTCCCAACGGAGTTTGAAGCGAAAGTGCCGGGTATGTCGATGGCTGTGCACAGTAATGTGTTTTTGAGAGCATTTTGTAGATTTTTATGCCGTTATATTTGATTAGCTCATTCCCGCCATTGAAAAGATATCGACTTCAGACTTTGTGTAAGCGTTGGCAGGCTTGTTGTCGATAAATTGAAAGCATTAAATGCTGCCTACATGCAACATCTTTTTGCGCCAGTGTCGTCTAAAATATGTCAAGGCGCGACGGGGACAATTGTAACATTTTTGCAGGGGTCAAATGTAACAGGTTATAGGTCAGTGGCCATTATGTCAAAGTCGTCAAATTTTCAAAGGAGATGAAACATTGCTAGAATTAAGAGAACTGTGAGTTTTGTCGCAATCGGCAGCTTTTTACGCGATTTATTTGCGAAAAACCAAGGGAGAGGAGGTCCATCCAACCCCTGTATAAGTGCGAGGTTTTATTGCCTTCTTCCTGAGAAGAACCGTCCCTACCAAGTCTGGGAAGATAAACAAGTGTTCAATACTTTTGTTAAATCAAAGTTTTGGAAAAAATTGTGTTGCTGTAGCCTGTAAATGAACATGTTACAATTGTCCCCGGATGGTGTTACTTTTGACCCCGTATCTGGGGCGAATTGTAACAGCTGAATTGACTTTTTCGAACAACAATTTTGACCCGAAAAAGAAGCTATTTCGGAAATGTTTTAACTGCATTTTAAAGACAAAACATCATAGTTTCTGAAAGTAAAAGAAAGAGCTTTATAGCTGCAAACGTGTTTGCACTAGATGATAAAATGCAAAAAAATGTTACAATTGACCCCGTTCTCCCCTATACACATTCAATAAGTAGGATTTAATTTTGTGGTTTAGGTATGACAATTATCTTAATATGTGTCTTACAGTCACGATACAATAAAGTTTTTGTTTTCAAGAGAGTGGAATATAAGATATAGGGCACGTGCATCATCGGGTGGCATGAAATGAAGTCTGAAGTCCGGATGTATGATGTATAGGACTATAGTATACCATCAAGTACGATAACACATTTTGTCAAAATTACGAACGCTAAAGCAAAAATAACTATTCACATATTTGCACAGCACCTTTCTCATAACTAGCAACATGTCAAAAATGATGATAACATGGCATGATAATAAGAAAAAAAGAAAACATGTCGGAGCCTCACCTGAACGCGTCCGTCGCCCCGACATAGCGAAGTCAAAAAGGCCCCTGGCGGCAAATTTTGCAACCAAAGGTTTGTTTTTGGCACCAGATGGCAGGCATTGGATCAGCCTGAGGTATGACCATAGCTATTGCGATCTCGGAGTACATCGGAGTGATATAGACGGCGCTGAAGCCATGTATACTATAGTGCACCCGGGGTCTCTAGAGGTTAATGACAGGCTCTGGTGTCAGTGCTAAAACTGTAGGACATTCTTCTTATGTTGCAAGGTGCGTTAGATGAGCGCCTTGTTTGTCGCAATGCTGGAAGGCCCCGGCGGATATTGGACGGTTTTCATGATAGTTAAGTAGGCCATCAAGATAGTTCTGTGCGGCTTATTTGCCATTGATGACGTTTGGTGTGGTAATGACTTGGAATGATAGTCCTAGAGATTAGATCTTTGGCCTTATCAGCGATGATTGACCGGTACAAAGCCGCACACGTTTTTTTCTTGCCGGGTAACAATCACAATTACTACCTGAGACAAATGTGTTTTGTTACCAAATAAACGATAAATGCCAAAAAAATGCTTAGAAATATAAGCAATTTAAACAGACGAGAACAAAGTAACGGCTGACGACTGCCGTAGTTTTCAAGTCGATCGTGATTCTGTCAGTGCCGTTCAACCTGCAATGTTGGCACTGGTTCACTGACCCGCGGTCCCTGTGTCGCACGTGCAGGTGCTGCCCGAGGTGGTCTCACGCCTTCTGTGGGACGTCGGCTTCCCCTGTCTGCTGGCCGCCTCCATCATCATTCAGTACACGTTCTCTGAGCTGTCCCAGGTCAGTTCCCTGTGGCGCACGGCCAAAACGTGTGTGTGGTGGCTGCAGACTGCCCGCTGTCTTACTGAAGACTGAAGAGGTGTGTTAAAGGGAGGTATGCCTTCTCACGTACATATGATTTACACTGTGGGTGCAGACATATCACGCTAACGAACATATGCATAAACACCATTGTCAAAATGCTATAGCAAAATCTATTGCAATTAAAATAAGTTTTATATGAAACGGCTATTATTCTGCCCGACTACAGATGACGTAGACGTAGATTCTGTCCGACATTCCGAAATGTAAGCGTAGATTTACACCCGCCCGTTTTGTTGTCAGATGAGTTTCGGCCCGGCGTTCCTGCGAAGGCGTCCGTTCCTGTCCAGTGTCATCTGTGGCCATTTCTTCACGGTGCTCATCACGGACCTTATCGCGGGCTTGGAGACGGAGGCCACGGTACAGAACACTTCCTAGGGAGGGAGAGGGAGACTGCCGTTGGCGTGATACGGTCATAGCTGAGGACGAGTGTCAACTATTGCTGCGACGATCGGGGCTTGACGAAATAGCATTTGTTGATTTTGGTGCCTAAGTTTTCGAGGCACTGCAAATGACTGTATTAGATTAGTGTAGACTTTTATTGCTACATTTGGCTATTGTCCTTGACCTTTGTCGAAAAATGATGCATTTGAATATTTGATGCACATGCAGCAGGTTACTAGGCCCATGCCAATCTCTGATCCCTTTGACGTATTAACGCCAGGCCTCAACCCACGCGTCAATATCGTGATTCGTGACGTATTTTGCATACGTTTTATCTTTATATCCTTTTTCTTTCACAGGCTCTGCTGTATATATCTCAGACGGTGTTTATCGTGTGGTGTCTGTTCATCCACACCACCTTCCTCTTTATCGGCTACAAGGTGCTGCACATGCTGAACGAGCTGCCGTCCAGCGCCTTCAATAACGGCACAGTCGACACCAACACCAAAGGTACGCGCCTGCACGTCCTCTGAAATTCGGTATGCAAACTCCACAGCGGAATCCAAACAAGGAAATTGAGTTATTCTGGTCTAAAGAACACATTTCGTTTGGAGAAGCTGGTATAATGTTGTTGCCTGTTTGCCAGTGGGTATAAGTATTTTGTAGCTCTATACTTGCTTCACGTATGCAAGAGAAATACATGTCATTTCAATGTGCCGTATTTGATGTTAAATTGAAATGCAAGGCAAGCTTATATCTGCCTTCCGCTAATTACGCTCATATAGCTCTCATATAGAAATTAATGAAAGGAATGTGAATGACGTCTGGCCGCTGCGACTTTATTTAATTTTGTGCCACTCAATAACAAAATAAATAACCAATAAAATGTGTTCTTTCAGATAACCAATGCAACCTCGATTAAATGTCAACCGAAATGCCGTTACATAAATCCCCGCTTTTGCGCTAGGTACTTTTTTCTTTCTTAGTTTTCCTTTTCAGTTCTGCTGTGTCTCTCCACTGTTCAGTCCATATTCCATCCAAGCTCTCTGACCTTACCTCACCACCCTCTCCAGGAATCATGCAGTTGGCGCTTCTGGCGCGGTGCGGTAACATCGCCAGTTCTGTGATCGCCTCCGGTGGCCAGCGGACGGCGGCGCCGCCACCCAAAATCCGCATCACAGACGAAAACGAGCGGACAGTCAGCTTCCACAGCGAGACGGCCATCACCAGCGCAGAGCCAGGTAAGAAGCTTTTTTTTAGAAAGCTCTTTCGGCCTAAAAAGACCATTGCGGAGCAATGGGATATTAGGATAGGAAGTACCTAGCCATTGGGCTGTGCGGTACACTGACAGGGATCTGCGGAGATCCAGACCGTCCCTGTGCGTCCCTGTGGGACCGGATTCCCCCGTTGGGACAGTCTGCCCCCCGCCCTCCAAACGGTTAAGGAGATAAAGAACAAGGGATTCACTAACAAGGTACGGGGCTAACGGGGGGGGGGGGCGTGAATTCAGAATTTCAGGGCCAAGTGAAGAGCTAATGGAGGGAGCCAGGGAAGGGACCAACGAGCGAGCGGTGACCTGAGCTGCTAACAAAACGACCTGTTCCAGAGCAACCCGCTCCGGCTGCCGAGGAGACCCCCAGCTGCGAGCGGAGACCGTCCGATCCGGTGGCTCCCGTGCGGCGGCCGCTCCGCCCCACGGGCAGACGCTGCAGCGAGAGTGCGGCGACCGGCCGCAAGGCGGCGCTAGCGTCGTCCGATCGCAACCGCAGGTAAGGGAGAACGGCATTGTAAAGGCGCTTTTGTGTAGAGTAGATTTGATGTTGCTCTGACGTCAAAGCCGGTCAGGTTAAACTGTTAAGGGTCGCTATCACCACATTCGTATGATCACTCATTTCAGAGTGCCTCAGGCTTTTCGGACTCTGAAGTAGATACCTAACCACCGCCATGGCGGGGGTTTGCAACCAATGATCGGCCCATCGCCACCATGTCACCGACCTGTGACCGACCCGTGACCCACCGTGACCCGACCCTATCCATCAGCCGGTCATGCTGCGCCCCGAGTGAGCCGGACTCTCTGGAGACCATCTCCCCGGCCCCCGCTCCGCCGGCACCGGCCGCCAGCCGTCCCAAGAGGCCGCCCCCGCGCCCCGAGACGACGGCCAGGAGCTCCCTGCTGCCGACAGCCGCGCCGCCGCGAGACTCGATCGTCTCGACGGATATCACCCTGCAGACAGTGCTCAATCATATCGCCTATATCAGTCACCCGACCACTGTGCGCATGTCGCCCAAATATCAGGTGGGTGCTGGAGGTGGGAGGAGAGGAGGCTTGTCGGGTTTATTCATGGGTGGGCAGGAAAATTTAAGGCATTCATGAGTCAAGCCCTTTGCGAATGCTCTTTAGAAAGGCTTAGGCTGATAATTATAGCAAGGTGTTTGAAAATGTCGTTCTTTCATTTTGCAAGCGGTATTGTCGTGTTCAAAATTCAAATACTCCACTCTTATTTTGACGGTGACGCACAATTAATGCATAGCGATAGCGGATCCTAAATACACCGTTCGCTGTTCACAGGTGCGGCGAATCCTGAAGGTGACGTACACCACAGCACTCCTCGGCGTCCTCCTGTCCGCCGTGTACCTCGCGCTGCTGTACGCCCGGCCTGCCATCGGCTCCACCACCTGGCTTCTGCTGGAGACAGCGGCGCGCTCTGCAGAGTTCTTCATGGGCTGCTGCATCGCCAACATCACCAAACAACCTGTGCAGAGGAGCGGCGGGATGCTGCGCCAGTACCACTGAGTTGGTGTCAGTACCGCGCGGTGGTGAGGCAGGGTGTGATGATAGTGGTGAACTGATGATAGCCGATGATAGCCGGTGACGGATAATGTCAAAAATCCAGTGTTTTGTGTGATTGGCGTCGGAACAATGCCAGTCCGTGATAGCGCGTCGGTGGATCTCGTGGAGGTGTTATTATAATAGTGTGTCCGCATGCTGCTGTGCTTTGATATGGAAAATGTTCTAAAAGGTAGTGATGACAGCTTGACGAGGTATTTGTAAATACCATTTCACATGTGTTTTCACGCACTCGATCACGCTCAAACACGCATAATTTACACGCAAACGTGGACACACAAACAAGCATACACGCACATACAATTATAAATCACGAAGCAAATCTCATGTAGGCTGACGGCGACTACAATAATCATTGTCATCACTAGCATCGTGCTCGTCAGCAGGAACAACATATGCATTGCACGGAAGGTGCATAATTATACATTGAACACTGAACAATTCGTCTTTAATGAAACATAAGTCTGTATATAATGAAACGTAAGTCACGAAACATAAGTCCTAACTATTTCAACGTCACGCAGCCTACGCTAATGTAACCGGGCTATTTCAAAACGTATCTCAAAATTCAGCAAGCATTTCCCGGCATTTCCTCAGTGCCGTTAAGCAGTTTTTTTCGCACAAGTAAAGGTTAGAAATTTAACCGTATATTTGCTATCAATGAACAAAAAACCTCAACCACTCAAGCGATAATCAAACCCTTCAGTAAAACTGTCGAACTGCTTCGGTTGAATCAGCAACCCACTTACCATAAGTATGTTTAGCTATCACGTCGATGGTCGTTTTTTTCGCATGGTATCTGATAGTACGAACTATTCAGTGATGGCGGGCTTTTGCAAATATCCGGTTATCAAAGGCTGAAGTGCGCGACAATGTCGGTGTTATCAGCTGTGGCCCTTCCGGAGAGATGTCTTCAGTGTTGTGGACAATTTATAGCTGGATTGTCCATACAGACTCACTATGTTTGAGCTTTGCCGCCTGTGTCAGAACTCAGAACCATCTCTAATTCATAAGTGTGTGTACATATTGACTGTCAGTCATCTTCAATGAACGTGACTATTTTGAATTCAAAACACATGTATTTATGTATGGAAGGATAATGGATGTCGTATTTATCAGCGTGTATGTTTGTGTATATAGATGTGCGTGTGCTTTTATGTATACCTGCCATTGTATGTAAATGCACATATGTTTTATTCCCGTTTTTGGTTTTGGTAATCGACTTGGGCTTGATGGGTTGAACCTTGGGTTGGACATTGGCACCCGGTACGGACGCTTCTGGCCTTGAGACATAAAAAGCCTCTTGCGACCCACAGACTTTGATAGAAAGAAATAATGACGAAATTGTTACGAGTGAAATAAACCTGATATAAATAACCAATAAACATTTAAAAATATTTGCAAAACATTTTGCAAAACATGCAATGTATACTTATTCATACATTGGCCGCCTGAGCTCGTTTATTTTGGTCCTCAAAGCTGCTTGAAAAATATGAAGAAATAGTGCATCAAGCAAAACGAGTCTGGGGATCGCTTTCCCAGTCTGTAAAAGATGTGTGGTATCTGCAAGTACAGTTTCACAGTCTGTTCTTGCAGATATGAGATACCACACATTTCTGGGAACTGTCCAAACGACCCTTGGGAGACGAAAGAGTGATCTGAAGGGCAGCCCTTACTGAAGCGTTTTTTTATGTGATAGCATCGCTTATTAGTCACATGTGGCCAACACTGGACGACCTCAACCCTTGCGCGTGGAGACCCCACACCGGTCCAAGATGGGATATGGGGGCCCATAGATTCAATCGTTGCCTTTGGCACTGGGGGTTCGGGACTCCCACGAGCCCGGCCCACAGTTTCGCCAATCCTGGCATCAAGCATGGTGCATAACACCAATGTTTCAGTGCTTCCGCCCTTACACTGCCACAGCTACAGTACCTACAATATGGTTGAAAACACAACTACTGGACGTCTCCGAGTAGCGATTTCTTACTTTTCGGCCCCAGAGCCCCAAAGATGGGGGAGGGGGCAAGCTGCCCCCACTGTCCCCCCCCCCGGTTCCCGCACCTATGCGCATAAAACGCACAAAACAACCTAAGGTATAAACCACAAAAAGTCAACAGAGATGGAGAAAAGACATGAAGGCAATATCCTCCTGTTGACTCCAGAGATTACAAAAATCTGCACCCGCCGTCCCTGTGCAAAACCCATCAGCGCTGGTTGAATGTGAAACATACACATGTCCGTGCCACTCGGTTATCGGTATCGAGGGCCGGCCGGCCGACGGCCGGCCGGCCATAGCGGCCGTATCGGTAGAGTAAACTCTGACATCAGGCTTGCCGCCGACCGGTCACCGCCCACCGGTTAGCGACGCCGCCCACACGCCCCTGGATCTACGGGGGCGACCGTCAGGCAGAACCAGTAGGACAAACGCCCGTATACATCTGTCACGCGGCGCTGCTCACGGTTCCACTGGACACGGCGAACAACAGGGCATTAGAAGAAGTATTCTACTTGTCTGCGGTTTCCAGTATTCCAATTTGCCTGGAATGCGACCAGCTCCTGGTCCAGTCAGTCTGTTGACGCCACTCGAGTCTGAGCAATAAACAAGCTAATTGGCAGCGGGCCTGGTGTCATGACGCTCATCAGACGCCATAGCAGCGTCGTTGGGCCATCTTATGTCGTGTCGGTGATGAGCTGGGCTGAACGGAGCTCCCAATCGCTCACGGCTCACTTCCAGTGGCGGATCCAGGGGGGGGGGGCAAAATGGGCATTTGCCCCCTCCCCAAACGGCATAATTTTAACATTACGCCTATGGACGATGCATGGAAAGAATCGATAAATTGTTATGGTTTGCCCCCCTCCCAAAACTCTGAGCTGGATCCGCCTCTGCTCACTTCTGACACGTGCCGGGCTTGAGGACAGCGCACACACGTGAATTTATATATTGTGCATGGCATCTCATTAGGTGATTCAGATCGCAGCATCCGAACTTCCTCAGATAATAACTGAGCCAGTCCCGTAGGTCAGTTGGTAGAGCGTTGGACTCCGCGTGGTGAGAGCACGCGTTCCCGGTTATAACAGCCCGGGTTTATGAGCCCGGGTTTATATATATGTTACGGGTCATATGCTAACTTGGGCAGTATGCAAACTGCCCGGGCAGTATGCATACTACCCAACAGCCCGGGCAGTATGCATACCGCCCGGGTAGTATGCATACTACCCGACCCCTTGGGCAGTATGCATACCTCCCGGGTAGTATGCATACCACCCACCTTTTTTCTCACGGGCAAGATGTTTACTCGGGCAGTATGTTGACTACACTTCCTGAGGCTTGTTAATGCAGTAACTCGCGTATATATGTGAATGACAAACGTTTTAACCTTCCGGGTGGTGGTGGGGGGGGGGGGGCATTTTTTGTCCCCCTTAGTTTTTTCGATATATATATCCAGAATTCCGCTGCGCCGATTGCCACCAAACTTTCAGTACCCTCCCGGGATCGTAGCTATTACACATTGTGACCAAAAATTTTCCAAAGGCTTTGATAGGTTGGCCGCTAATGACGTCGGAGTGACGTCATTTCTGCCATTTTCGACCCAAAAAAGGTTTCGCGGGAAGAGCTGTCAGGCCTACAGCTTTATAGATACAGAAAATGTTTAAAGGGACTATCCCACCTTTAACATGGGGTTTGAGTTGAGATAGCCAAGTTTGCGGCGAGGTTCAGAAACCTATATCTATCTAGGTTGCAACCCCCGCGGCCTCTTGGTGTTGAAGAAATTCGTTCCCTTCATTTGAAAATGGGCCTTGTACAAGGCCCTATCTTCAACATGGAGCGACCGTTAGTGTGACGTCACCTCGTTTAGTCATTCTGATTTAAATGGGTTTGTTCGTTGAAAAATCGCTTAAAACTTGGTCTGAACTTTGTTGTGGTGCCTACAGAGTAAAAAGAATCAGCTTTATGACAGTAATGTGGCCTAGGGAAGGAGGCAATTTTGGGCTGTGACGTCAAATATTTGAAAGTTTGTGTTTGGAATATGGGAAGCCTTAGATGTTTAATGAAAAATAAATGGCAGAACCGTGTTCCTGGTCATCCAATCTATAAAGTCGGGCACAATTTAACTGGTTTTAACAACATTTTAGAAGGTGGGATAGTCCCTTTAAGAATAGGTATAAAAAGGGTCGAATTAGAGGGTTACAAAACTGCTATTTCAGATTTTAAAATTTTTCGATTTTGACCCCCTAAAATCAAAAAAGTAATTTTTTAATACAATAGGGAAAAAAATTCAAAAAATCCAAAAAGTTTTTTTTTTCATTTCGAAAAAAACGGAAAATATGTGATAGTTCCTACCGCCTATCCACATACCAAATTTGAGATTGATTCCTCTTTTTTTGGCAAAGTTATAGCGAAAAAAAACTCTTCAACATTGATGACGTCAAATTTTGTCGTCGTCGTTTCATTTTACTCAGTTCACGCTTCACAATGACGATGACTTGTTGGCCACTGGTTATTCAACAATAGATTTGGGAAAAAGTAATTTCAACACTTTATTCCAATCCTCATTCCATCCTACGATCGATCAATCACGTTTGACGACAAAAATTCTTCTCGGTCGATCTATTGTTATCTAGAGAGTCATTTATATTCTTAATGTGGACATGGATTACACAACTTTAAGTCGGAAATCGGGCAGTATGCAAACTGCCCAAGCTTTTGGGCGGTATGCATACTGCCCAAGGGGTCGGGTAGTATGCATACTACCCGGGCGGTATGCATACTGCCCGGACTGTTGGGTAGTATGCATACTGCCCGGGTAGTTTGCATACTGCCCAAGTTAGCATATGACCCGTAACATATATATGTTACGGGTCATATGCTAACTTGGGCAGTATGCAAACTACCCGGGCAGTATGCAAACTACCCAACAGCCCGGGCAGTATGCATACCGCCCGGGTAGTATGCATACTACCCGACCCCTTGGGCAGTATGCATACCGCCCGGGCAGTTTGCATACTGCCCGGGTAGTATGCATACTACCCACCTTTTCTCTCACGGGCAAGATGTTTACTCGGGCAATATGCTGACCGTGGCCCGTGAGACTAGTTCATGCAATAGCTCACATATACATGTCAATGGCAGACGCTTTAACCCGCTCCGGGGCGGTGCTCGGCGCCAGTCGTGCCGGGCTGGATGGCGGGTTGAACACCCCTGCTCGACTCCCGCGTGCCACTTAGCGGAACAGAAGTAAGCGGCATGTAAGATGCGGTAACCGGCATTCGAAATAGCGTCAAAGATCATGACGAAAGTGCCCTAGTCATTTGGCCAGGTCAAAGAATAGGGCAACAGAGGTCATCAAAGATCAAATTTCGTCTTTTTCCTTTTTTTATAAATTCGCCCATAACTCAGAAGATAGGAGAGCTACAGCGCCGCAGAAAGACGCATTCGATAGCTCTGTTAGCGTTTTCTGGAATAAGTACTCAAAATTGATCTAAGTTCCAAATTTGACCTGAGGTCAAGGTCATGACCTGACATGAAAAGGTCATGTTGTTTATCAGCCGCTCCTTATCGTCGAACTGAACACATCTAAGGTTGTTTACATGACCATCGCCCCAACACGTCTCCATAAAAAAATAATGGTAAAAGAACTGCCGGAGACCTTTTATGACCTGATATGACCTCATGGTCATAAAAAGGGGTCACAAGTGCAATTTTTTTTTATTCAGTGCGTCATGTTTACCTGTATGTAACCCGATGTTTGAGAGTGTTTAGAATGACGTTCAGCAAAAGGGGCGTCCTTCAACTTTCTCCTGTCAACTTTTTAGGGAGACTGTGCAATATTGACTTGACCTAAAAGTCATCGGTATGATATCAAAATTCAAATACATGCCTTTTGAACCTAATGTTACACTTATTAGTCGCTTAAAGTTTCAAAGCGATCGTCAGGTCGGTGTAGCTATGGCGAGCATTCCAACCTTTCCTGGGGTAATGTCACTTGACCTGACTTGGTAACCCGACCATAACAACTTGTAACGTCTTACATGTAAATGGTTTCATGTAACATTAGCTATTGAAACAATGCTAACGCCCTCTACAGGTCCAAGTGTCAAACCAAAGCCAGCGAGTGATGGCACTACATATGTCGTCATTTCAGATGAAAGTGACTTGTTGGCCGCTGGCAATGAAATTCAATGAAATTCTGGGGAAATATTTTAAATTTTTATATTCAAAACATTATTTCACTCTTCGATCGATAAATCACGTTTGACGGGAAAAAACACTTCGCGATTAAACTACGTTACTTTTTTAAAGTTAGTCCGAACCTTTTGAATAGAAGGATTCACAGGGACAGAGCCCCCGCTAAGCGAAGCTTGTTGCGGTAACCCTGCCCTCTACCCTCCGATCGCGCAATGCCGGTTCTATGGCAGAATTTGGAGTCCAAAGTTTAAAGTGCGCACAGAGCCGCGCACGGCCGGTCCTCTTACCGACTTCGCTTGGCTACGGGCTACGGCCTGCCACAAACCGTCATATCTGTAAGGAGGCTCATTAAACGTCCATCGCCCGTCGCGCTTCGAACCCGGACTGTTATAACCGGAAACGCGTGCTCGCACCACGCGGAGTCCAACGCTCTACCGACTGAGCTACGGGACCGGCAAATACTTATAGAGCCATTAATACTTTTTAAAATGGACATGGAATACACAACTTCAAGACAAGAAGCGGGCAGTATGCAAACTGCCCAATTTTTGGGCGGTATGCATACTGCCCAAGGGGTCGGGTAGTATGCATACTACCCGGGCGGTATGCATACTGCCCGGGCTGTTGGGTAGTTTGCATACTGCCCGGGTAGTTTGCATACTGCCCAAGTTAGCATATGACCCGTAACATATATATATATATATATATATATATATATATATATATATATATATATATATATATATATATATATATATATATATATATATATATATATATATATATATATATATATATATATATATATATATATATGACCATTTCTGTAGAAGTTATTCGCGAAAAACTAAAACCCCAGCGGGTTGATGACCTGACCTTTGAACTCAGTTCACCAAAAGAATTTTGGTATTTTTCCTGGGTCAACGCTATATTCCCAATATTCGCCAGGGGGGGGGGGGCGAAAAGCGCCCCCGGACCCACGAGGGTTAAAAGTCTAAGCTTAGCCTACAATTTGAGGCGAAGTTTAGACATTTAAAGATAGTGAGCAGACGGTCACACCTCTATGTCCGTCCGTCGACCTATCCGTGTTTCTATCCTCAGGATACTGAAATCCTTCTCCTCCACACCGCAACCCCCTTCCGGGCTGGACAGGCAACTTTATCTCATGCGGGCTGCTCCCTTGGAGCGGCACCGCTGCTCCCGAGGGAGCGCACCCCGTAGCCGGGTGCAGTGAGTGCCTTGGGGCTGGGTGGCCTGTCTTCGGACGTGCTCAGCCCCGGCGACTCACTAGGGTGCCTGCCCAGACCAATGTCTCCCCCTAATTCCTATCATCCTTCCGGCTCTGCAATGGTCTTGTCGACCGAAAGGGCCTAACCCAACAAAGAATTAAACCTCTAAGATATTTAATTATGCTGCTGATTCAAGTATTTCACCACCTTATTACTTATTACAATAACGTTCATAGCTAAACTTCAATAACCTTGTATGCACATTGCAAGGCACAGTCAATGCAAACATCTCAACAATGCAATCAAGCATGGCTGATAGGCACAGTCATATACATATCATATCATATCATATCAGGCACAGTCAATACAAACATCTCAGCAATACAAACAAGCATAGCTAATAATTTACAAGCAACACTTTTTCATTTAACCCGCGCCCCGCTGGGCTATTCAGCCATACGCGCCCTGCTGGGGGGGGGGGGGGGCAGATTCTGCCCCCCCTGTCTAACTTCCGAACCGATGGTCGTAGAAAGACGGGGAAAACGGCAATCGAAAGCTCTCAACAAGGCGGATCTTAAGAGCCCAAATTTTTTTGCTTAAGTAGGTCAGAGGTCAGGTCAAGGTCAGGTCAAGGGTACAAAATGCAAGTTTCTACAGTATCGGCCTTGCACCGTAGTTGCCGAAGAATGGACTGAGACTGATTGCCCAAAACGTGTTCTTAGACTACCAAGACAATATTCGTTGCACACAATGTCATTCAAAGGTCAAGGTCAAGGTCAGGTCAGGTCAGGTCAGGTCACCAAAAACAAAATATAGAAAAGGGCATGTGCCACACATGTTTTATGGGTCATTTTACTCATGGAATTCAATAGGCACACTCAATAAGTGATATGGACCACCTCTGGATGAATTTCAGGTCGAGGTCAGGTCAAGGTCAGGTCAAGTGAGGTCAAATTTTGAAGTTGGTTGTTAAGGCCTAAAAAGGTGTCTATCCGATGCAGTTTTTCACGCCGAATCGAATGATGCTATTTTTATTTCCGTACGAGGTCTAGAACTTCCAAAAAATCATTTTTCAAAATTTTTGTGTGTCGTGACGTCATAAAATTTTGAATAACTCCCACATTTTTGAACCGATTCTTCTAAAAATTGGTATGTAGGTGCACATAGACGACTTCTTTGACATATATTCCGGTTTTTTCGATAAACTCAAAATTTTGGATTTTATAAATATTTTCCCAAAAAAGTCAGTTTTTGGGAAAAATTTTGGCCAAAATCCAAAATTTTCAAAAAACCGAGATAGCCATTTGATAGACAAAGTAGAATCACGTATAACCTTTTTTGTTACGTCTTGATTCCTTTAAAAATGAAGAAGTTAGCGGCGTTTGAAATTTTGCCGTTTTTTAGGCGAAAATGGCGAACATGACGTCACTAAAACGTTAATTTCTCAAAAATTTTCCGACGGATTTCGCTCAAATTTTTAGGGAACGTGTCAAATTGATGTATGATAAGGTACTGAAAGTTTGACGTCGCTGGCGTAAGGCGTTTAGAAGTTATTGGCGAAAAACGGGAGGGGGGGGGGCAGATTCTGCCCCCCCAGCGGGGCGCGGGTTAACCCTCACCAGGCCGGTGCCTTTTTCAATAACGCGGACAGCCGGACGACCCCTCTGGCGATTCGCTCCAATGGCACTCAGAACCACCAAAGTTAAAGGGTAGGTGAGGTGGAAGGAAAGCTCGCCCCTGTGTGAAATTGGTGACTCTAGGTCATCATTTATTTAGTTATTTTTGGGGAGGGGGTAAAAATGTAAAAAAAAAACATTTGGCTAAAAACACGCTCAAAAGTCTTCTCGCTTCCAACTTTTGATCTTGAAAAGGTAGAGGAAGAATAAAAGCACCAATGAACTCAGCACGCCAATGCAATCGAAAAAATTGGTTTTGCTACCAGTTTAAGTGAAATTAAAAGTTCACTGAAAATTAAATGAAGTTTAATTAATTAAGTTCATGCGGGCTCATCAGATCATCAAAATGCATCATGTGGCATACCATTTGACTCGGCTGATAACAAAGAATACAATGACACCACCTTTGGAGATAGATTGAAGATTTGAATATGTAGCCATATTGTGAGCTAGGTTATTAGCAAAAACGTAGATAGCATTTGACCTCAGTGGACCCGACAAGAAAAATCCCAAGCCGTTTAACTTCCTTATAAATGTCTTTTTAGCACAATGCACAATTCACATGCCTAAGTATTCGACATAAAAGGAATGATGCTAGAACTCTGTCGAAAAGTAGTCTACCTCATCACCTTCGCACGTTGAAAACTTGATATTTTTGATCATCTGGCCACATATTTTTCTTTTTTAGGCACAATGCAATGATCATTTACACCCCAGAACTTGTCCATTCTTGAAATTGTCTTTGGAGTCTGGCTATTATAATTCAACGCTTCACAGATGCGGCAATAATAGTGAATCGGCGAACCGAAATAACCATGCTCGTTCAGAACATAATAGGAATCTCGCCACGCGTGATAACGTTCATATGCGGACGGTGTGTCATTTAAATACTTCAGATGCGCTGCAAGCTCTGCCACTGACGCAAAGTCTTCAACAAATATGAAACTTTTCGGCGGCAATATCATTTCGTAATCTTTCCTCTTGGCGCCCCAAACAATAGGAACAGCTCCCTTGCCAAGAGCGTGCCAGAAAACCTTCTCGGTGATATAGCCATCACAGTGGCTGTTCTCGAGCGCGAGATAGAACTTATAGGTGCTGAGGACCGGGCAGTCCTTATTGTAATGACCATCACATTTGAGCGTTCCGCAGCGACCATACACGTCGACAGGGATCAGTTTTTGGAGAGCCTTCACCAGCTGCCAGCGGCCGCTACCGTCGCAGTTCGAGCCCATGATGGCCGCCAGTCTGGTGTGTACGGGTCGCGGCGTCTCCGACCTGCCCGGCGCCGTACGCCCGTACGGCACCGGTACGTCCGTGTCGTACCGGTAGCCCATCGACCAGTTGAACACGCCGTTGTAGTGCGAGATGTTGTTGCGCGTGAGGAACGCGTGGCGCGGACTCTCGTCACTGAGGAAGATCCAGCGCTGCTGCGGCCGCCGTCGGCCGGGCAGCGCTCTCTCCGAGGTCAGCTGCAGGTGGAACAGCACCGCATCAGCGGCAGCCGCCTCCTCCGAGTTCTCCGTGTAGATCAGTCGGCAGTTCTGCACGGCGCACCCGCGCAGCGGCGGCCGCGCCGCGCCGGAGCCGTAGGAGCGCAGCAGGCGCCGCTCCAGGCGCGCGCCGTGCCGCCACACAGCCACCGTGTAGTTGACACCGCGAGCTGCCGGCCGCGGCTCGCCCAGCAGCAGGATCCGGCCCAGGGTGGACATCCTGGTGCGATCCTCCGCCCCGAACGCCGCCTCCGGGCCCGGCCACAGACGAGCCGACGCGGGCACCTCTGACGTCCTCGACAGCCGGATCACATCCATCGCCAGCAGCTGGTACAGCGTCACCAGCAGCAGGGCGGTGGCCAGCACCGACTTCACCACACACGACGCCGGGGAGCGACGCTTCAGCTTCAGCGGCGACAGTGACGGTCGTCTGTGCGTCATCCTCCACGAAGCCATTTAGGTAACTCCTACGGTGCACAAAAATAGCTTCGTTACCGGAAACCAGGGGGCCGGGAGGGAGGGAGGGAGGGAAAGGGGTGGGAGCACAAATGCAATGGGATTGTTTTGCCGCCACATGGGTGTGGTAGACAATAACATCGAAACAACAGTGGGCGGTCCTGGAGTTTTGTACGCTGCATAACTTTTTTTCGGTGAGAATGAACAATGAAAATTACCATGAGCTTAGTTTTCGGTGCAGGACATCATGTGATCAACATAAAATACGTTTGCATGTACCTACGGCTTGGCACAAAGAGGACAAATCCGGTCAAAATAGATGACTTTGGTACACATGTTTTCTTTTTTTGTTGCTGTGAAAAGTGACACGCACAGACATGAGACAGTAACCCGATAAAAACTCAATCAGAGTCCTGCCATAAGGCATAACTGCATGTCTTCCGTACATTTCAGAAAACACGCTAACACTCCGTGTTCGTATACCTACACGACGTCAGGACTTTCCATGTTGATGACTGCATCTAAATAAGGTAAACATAAGCTCTGTATGTAGTACCTACATACAATACTTCCATATGACGCTATTTCAACACGTGCTGCCTGCGGCTGACTCGACTCACAAAAACTATGTAAGGCCCTGAGCCCATCAGCAGGAATGACAACGTGACACAAGTGGCAATACAGATTCGTAAGCACTCCTTCCCATTGTATAGACAAGTACGGACATACATTCCTTCTTTCATACCCTACGGCGTCCGCCTGAGGCACCATACCTAAGTCTAATATCGTTATATTTTACGACATTCTTTATTAACAATGTCACTTATAGCAAACTAACTAAATATTATCATCTTCACTATGTCAAGGTTCGCTTAGGTATCATTATGAAAAGCAGCTTATCAATTATATCGTTTCACTGCACTGCTCTTCAACACTCAATATACTTATTTATAGTCACCGTGAATATACTCACCACAAAAGGACATTAAAAAAACTTAACACTGACCACGGTAGTGCTGTGCACCATTTGTAAGTCGCTGCCCCGGCTATCGGGTAAACTGGGCAGTGGCACTGCAGAACGGTGCCTCGATATCAGGCGGGCTGCAATTGGTCACTGTGGAGACTGTTACACAACAGACGGCATCGCTATGGGTGTGGGAGCTCGGCCGGTACCGACATCGATCAGCCCGGGACTGGCGGAAGGGTACATGAAGCCCTATGGGCTCGTCGGCACCGACATTTGTAATGCAGTGATGTGTGCAAAAACCAGCAGCGAAAGACACACCCTACACGAGAGAGAGACACAGAGGGTAGGTACATGGAGCCCTATGGGCTCGTCAGCACCGACATTTGTAATGCAGTGGTGTGTGCAAAAACCAGCAGCGATAGACACACCCTATACGAGAGAGAGAGAGAGAGAGAGAGAGAGAGAGAGAGAGAGAGAGAGAGAGAGAGAGAGAGAGAGAGAGAGAGAGAGAGAGAGAGAGAGAGAGAGAGAGAGAGAGAGGAAGAGAGAGAGAGAGAGAGAGAGAGAGAGAGAGAGAGAGAGAGAGAGAGAGAGAGAGAGAGAGAGAGAGAGAGAGAGAGAGAGAGAGAGACAGAGAGAGAGAGAGAGAGAGAGAGAGAGAGAGAGAGAGAGAGAGAGAGAGAGAGAGAGAGAGAGAGGAAGAGAGAGAGAGAGAGAGAGAGAGAGAGAGAGAGAGAGAGAGAGAGAGAGAGAGAGAGAGAGAGAGAGAGAGAGAGACAGAGAGAGAGAGAGAGAGAGAGAGAGAGAGAGAGAGAGAGAGAGAGAGAGAGAGAGAGAGAGAGAGAGAGAGAGAGAGAGAGAGAGAGAGAGAGAGAGAGAGAGAGAGAGGAGAAAGATAATCCGACTGTTGATAAGAAGGATAATAAACAACGAACTAGCAGCATGAATTACAAGAGATCCTTACGTTATAGAAGACCATATAGCCTATAGGGTGAGTAAATGCAACAAGTTAATTAGCACCACGATTAGCAGGTAATTTATCAGCTTAAGGTTACTAAAATTCTAGCAGGAACCGATTTACAGGGATGTGAGCAGCCGAAAATAGCAGCTATAAACTGCTGAAATTTGGCGCGAGAATAGCAGGTAAACTGCTAAACTTTTTTACATGATTGGGTAGCATAGCATCTCATCGACATCTTCAAAAGACATCTGCGTTGTGGAGACATCATAGTCATTTTTGAAGGCTTTCTCAATAATTACATAGGCGTGGGATGGGGGGGGGGGCATAGCCTCCCCACTTTTCAGCCTTTTTTTAGTAAAATATGTATTTTAGATTTAAATGCAAAACTAAGATGGGGAAATGGTTCAGCAAGGTGAGATGAGCACAAAACTGCAAAGAAATTCTTAACAGGGTATTGGGGCTCCCACAAAGTGAAATTGAAGTTTTGCTACCCCCCCCCCCCCTCTTCACTTTTCGTGAGGTTCCTACGCGCTCGTTGCATTCGATGTTGATAATCAGCCCTTCCACCATGCAATTTTGCATTAGATTATGATTTGGCAAAACATCATTGGTCGTATTGGGTGGCTGCGGCGTTAACGCTATGCACTAATAGTGACAGTGTTATGCCTGATTTGAAAAGTTCGCATACTACCGTCTTTATTATATAATGGCCTTTATCAATTACCACCCTTATTATATCTCGATGTATGTATAGTGGTCAATGGTGAAGGGAGGCTGTCTCTTATTGATTGATGTGCTTCATGCATACGTGTATATAACCTCAAAACAAGACCTCACCTTAAAACAGCGCTCAAAAAACCGGGAGAATAAAGATAAATAGCCAAATAAAACATAAACACACTTACAAAAGGAAGCCACGCTTACATACACACCTTGCCGGATAAATCCAGCCACTCCGAGCTGAACAGGTCACGGCACAGTCGACCGAGCCCCGTGACGGTATACCGGAGCCGCAACAACGTGTCGGTGGCGGCGACCAACGCGAACTGAGCCCCCAACGGTCGGGTTCCCAACCCAACAGTGGCCCGCGATACCACGATATCGCGGAGCAGCTGGCGATGCAACGTACCCTCTGATACAGTTTCACCTGCGCTGCAGCGCGATACGTGAGATAAACACCGGCTTTGAGTGACGAGTCAGTCCTGATTGTTACTTAACCCTCGCCCGCACATGGGGGGGGGGGGGGTTGCCACCTTCGCCCTCAGGTAGCTTTTCTGTTCTGCACTGAACATTTGAAAAGTTACTCGTAGAAGCCTGATTTTTTTTTTGTATAGCTGCTCCTCTATTCTTTATCAGCGTCCACTGAAAATTTCAACGAGCAACAATTTAAAGATGCGTACCGCCGTGCTGAAGCTAGAGCAGAGACTTGGATCACGCCCCTCAGAAGGTAGCGTCTTGCGACTTCAATCACTTTTTCCCTTTTGACACGTTACCAGTGGGTGCGTCATGAATTTTGTCCTTGGGGTTATGAGGAAAAATGTTCAGCGGTTGACATATGTGCTAAGCTGTCCTTGGTTGTCCCCTAATTCAGTCCCTATCGGGAGTCAAACCTTAACTTGCCCCGTAGGGAGGGGGGGGGAACGCCCCCTGTCCTTTTCCATCGATATCTCCTAAACGGCTGACGATAGCGCCACCAAACTTTCAGGACCCCTCCGCGCATCAATTTTACACATTGTGACCATGTCTTCCAGAGGCTATGACAGCTTCGCCACAAATGACGTCAGAATGACGTCATGCTCTGCCATTTTCGACCGAAAAAAGAGCTTCGCGAGAAGAGCTGTCAGGCCTACAGCTTTGAAGATAAAGAAAAATGATCAACACATAAAAGGTGTAGAATTGACAGGGCTACAAAGCTAGAATCTCGGATTTATGAAATTTTTGAATTTTGACGTTTAAAAAAAAACAATTTTTTGGATATATTAGTTTTAAAAAAATTGAGTTTCGAAAAAAACGGAAAATTTGTGATAGTACCCACCGTCTTCTATCCACATACCAAATTTCAGATCGATAGCTCGTTTTTTGGGCAAGTTATAGCGAAAAAAAAAACTGTTAAAAATGATGAAGTAAAATTTTCAAACCCAATTTTTTGGCAATTCTAGACCACGTAGGGCAAACCAAAGACCACCATTAGACTCCCCGTGACGAGCTGCATCGAATCGATACACAATTTATGCAAAAATATCAACTTTGAAATTTGACCTAATTTGACCTGACCTTGACCTGACCTTCACCAAAACGTGACCTAAGCTGGCCCCAAAGGCTGCCTGACCCGCATAATCGCATTTGTCATGTAAAATGGACCATAAAACATGTATCACACGACACTTTCATATTGTGACCCCCCGGTGACCTGACCTCGCTGTGACCTGACCTGGTATCAGTGACCTCAGATAGCAAAGTATGTGTTTGACGAACAATGTACCATCGATGGTTTTCAGTAAATTACCAATTTACTCGATTTCACAACACATTTCTTGAAATGCCTGTGAACGGTGAAAATCCGACCTTTGACCTGACCTGTGATATCATCGGTTTGACCTAGGTCAATGGAATTTGATCAGAAGGTAGTTCCTGGGTGGGGCTATCGAACGCCGTTTGAATTTTGAAAATCGGCCGGTAAATTTCCGTGATCGTAGGGGGGGGGGTTGAAACGGCCCCCCTCCTACGGGTGGTAGGGTTCGCCGATAGCCCTACGGGACGCGGGTTAATAAACAAACTCCAGCTGTTCCGTATTTCTCGTTCACAAATACCTGACCATATCATGCATGTGCAAGGTACACACATTGTAAATAATACAATGTGGCACATACATAGGCTCAGGTACTTGCATGCATACACACAACAATACCGACGTCCTACACGAATGCACTTTCATACCAATATCACGCAGACCTTAGTTTAGTCCGTACCTACGCATTGAAAAAGGAAATAGTTTGTTAACATGCTGAAGTGATTTTGACCCAGGACTATCTAGGTTATGACTGCTGACCAGCCAGACCTGCTGGATGTCATTCGGGCGCGATATACGAGAACATGGGCTAAATATAGGCTGTCGGACGGACATGTCGAACTCGTTTCTTTGCGGTCCCGTGGTGGTGGTCCTAGTGACTGATCGCAGCGCCCCCTTCCCCGGTCAAGGCCCTCGTGCACCAGTGCAGGTGGCGGCACCAGCGAAGCACCGGCCTCGGTCCGATGGTTGGATTTGTTTTCCCAGCGATTGCATGTGCATCAATTCGCATTCAATGTGTCTTCAAATAGGCCCGACAATTTACGTACACTGGAACCGAGGCTTCTGCAATACACATAAACAGGCATATTCTTATTGATCCTATATACCGACCTACTCACCAGCCTATCAAATGTTTCATAAGAATGCGCACAGCTTATTTTCGAGAAGTGTTTCCGTTTTTTTTTATCCGTCCTCACTATCCTCAGAATAAACCGTATCCGCATCCCCTCACGCTCCCTCTCCGGGCTGGTGATCACCCACCTGACAACCGGTCGGTTTCTCACCAGGACCTGCAAAATGCAAATCCTCTCCGGGGTGACCGTTTGGGAGGCGGGCGGACTGTCCCAACGGGGCGATCCGATCCCATAGCGCCGGGACGGCCTCGCCTCCGTGGATCACTGTCGATGTCCCGCACAGCCCCACTCTATCCCCTATCCTATCAACCCTAGCTGAGCTCTGCAGTCTGCCATTAGTTTTTTCAGGTCGAAAGAGCTTGCTCCCATGAAAAAAGGTTTTGGGTTAATAGTTATGTACCGCATGGATAAGAAGTGAGAACCTTAGCTTTAAAATAATTAACCCACGAGCCGCTGGGGGGCATACAGTTGCCCCCCCCCCCCAGTGGCCGGTGGGTGGCGCGAAGGCCCAGTGGCCGCCGGGTTAACATTTGCCAAAATAAATCATTAAAAATGCCGGAACAATTTCTGGCGTACCGTATAATCAAGAGTTGGCTACGCCCGAAACTGGTGCCTAAGCTCGCGCGATGTCAGTTCTACATACTGACCCCTGTCAGTAGAACGCGCTACATCCCAAAATGAGTGCAGTCGTTCATTTAATAAACAGGACAGATAATTGAGCTTAGGACAATGTGATTGCCTATTGCAACTGGCAACTCAGTAATGCCTTGAGCTACCATCACATTTCCAGTGCGTGGTTCACAAACCCGCACAACTGCCCCACAACGATTCGGACCAGTCGCCGATTTGGTTGACTGATCTGTCAGGCCACATGAGCGTCCAGCGCGGCGCACCTCAATCACCCAGTAGCAGCCTCCGAGAGTGCGCGCCACAGCGGTCACGTGACCCGAACCGCCTGCGGCGGTGGCGGTCCGCGTCATGAACGAGCCCCGCCCCTCCCTCCCACCTCGCTCGCGGCAGGTGCACAAAATCAGGATCGTATCAGCTGACGGGCCTGTAAGCGGATCGACTGTCCGCTGGGAGCGCGGGCTGTGGGATAGACTCAGTGCGCAGTGTCGGCATTTGTGTTCATGGTGCTGCAGGTGGGGATTAGACAGTGAATTGAGACAGCGGGGGATGCAGGTGTGTGTGGAGTGGTGTGCTGAGGCCTGAGCGGAAGAGTGGGGGTTGTGACAGCCATGTGAGGTGATTTTCACTGTGATAGAAGACGCTGCCAACTGGTGTCAGTGGCCACTGGCCGAACGGGAAGCTTTACATGCTGGTACTTACGAAAGCTTACTACGCGTGAGGCCAAGCTAGTCGCCAGAGGTGATCGGGCTTGCCTGATAAAGTGCTAAGCTGAAACCGGTCTGCAGACCACGTGTCGTCAGCCGAGTGAGAAGTGTTTACTTTTGAACACCTGCGTCCTGCAGGGCTCTGGGCTATCACCACATGTGCTGTGTGTGGGTCTGTGGTATACACTCACAAGTGTAACATCTAGTTACTTGAAGCCACACTGGTGGGTGTGTGTGTGTGTGTGTGTGTGAATTTCTATAACCTCAAGGCGTGAGACCGGGATATTCTTTGACTGTATAAACGTCTGAAGCTGTGGGAAACGATGAGGTTGAAGGTACCGAGCATGGAAGCGATCGATGAAGCTGCCGAGACGGCGACGGAAGAAGGGACCAGCATCAGCTTGGCCTTTCAGCCCACGCTGGTGAGTAGCTCCTCGTTTTTGTGTGTTAAGTACCGAGCCGTCTTGCCTGTCTCCGTATCACGTTTGCGGGTATCACCAATGCAACCATTGTGTTATGTAGCATCGTGCTAAAATTATGAACTGCACCATGGAAGAGTTGAACTGCATGGAAGAAGTTGGTTTTTGACACGCATGCATCTGATCGACGCGACGGTGCATCACTGCCGTAATCTCTGTCTGAATCAAAATTCAAATGTGAGCTCACTAAACGCCACCACTTTTTTCGCCGCGCTATAGCTAAAAAATGGAGTGCCGCAAGAGCGCCAAATTTTGGGCACCTGTAGGGAATTACTTTAAGTTTATTGTTACGAAGGTTAAAAAAGATCATTTTTATGTCGAAGTCGGATTCACATTTTTTTTAGACACCGAGGTTTTAGTGACGTCATGATTCCTGGTTTTCGACCAGAAACGGCATATGTTAAAAAAATCATATAAAATATCACAGAACAAACGTTAACACCAATAGACTCCCAATACACTGAAAAATCAAATGGCTGTCTTCCAGTTTTGATTATCGTTCTCTATTGTCCAAAATGTTGAACGGAATCTTGACAATTTCTCGTGACAACTTCACGACCATGATGCACGCATTTCTTAACCCTCACCCGCACATGGGGGTGGGGTGGGGTGGGGGGTGCCACCCCCAGGTAGTTTTTCTGCCCTGCACTAAATATCTTTAAAGCTAGAAGCCTGATTTTTCGTATAGCTGCTTTCTATCCTTTCTCAGCGTCCACAGAAAATGTCAAGTTTTTTTTTTGTTTCGGAGTAGGACCTTGTTCTTCAGGTCATGCCATAACCCCAATAACCAATACCCAACATAGGCGGCGGAACGGGGGGGGGC